GTGTTGACAAGATCGGTTGCCAGAAACCTGGTTTACTCCATCGGAGATCAGCATTGAGTCATATACCACTAGCACGTTCGGATCACGTTCACTTAACAAAGTGAGTTCTAAAGATACAATCGGGTCAACTGTGCTTTGTTCTGCGAAGCCTTATCTCAAGTATTCGTCTTGCAACCGTGCTAATGGAAACTGTCAGTTATCCAGACTGGGTCCGATTTAATGTCCTCAAACTCCGACGATCGACCGGGTGAGTTCATTGCTACTGTGTTTCTATGCATGAAGTTGTTCCAAACCTATACCACAGGAAGACAGGTAAATGTCAGTGCTAACAGAAAGAACAGTGATGGAGCTATCTTAACGCAACCTACAAGATCATGTACAATATTGCAAACTAAAGTAAAAATTAACCTGTGGAGAACGATGTTCTTCACTGATCTGAACTCTATCAAACCATTCGGAATAGGGTGGGAAATAAGGTGCCTGTTACTCACGTTGCACGTAACGAAAAACGATTGGTCAAGCCATAGAATGAGTTTTCCACAGTTGATCTGGGTCAGCTGGCAATTCTGGAAGGGAAATGAAGTGCAACAACCTATCAAACACGTTTGAACATTTCCTAATGCTGGTGAATGCTTGGATTAGCCCATTCGGTTTTTCACATGCACCATGCACTGTTGATGCTCAATGTGGATTTCACTTTTGGGAGATCGTTAACTCCCCAGTTTGTATGCACTTCATTGGGATGGGACAGTGCCTGGTGCCTGTGAAAAACCGAATGGGCTAATCTAAACCTTCACCATCTAAATTGATTGAGCTATTCGTACAAGGTGATAACCATCGACCATGTAGCTCAAGGGTTTGAAGTCTCAGCCTGAAGAATCGCGGTTCGAGTCCTGACAGGGACATAAAAAGTACCAACTGCTTACGAGTCCCGAAAAGGACGAAACAGCTGTCCAGTGCTCTTTATTGATTATCACAAAAATCTCCATCACAATTTGCTAAAGCTGTTTGTCACAACAACGAGATGTGCAATAGCATTTTTTTCATAAGCCGAGGCCGTGATTGTCAAAGGCATCTTATTTCTTTTGTGGAATTCACATTTCGGAGTAATCCCCCTGTACTCATAATCCCAATCCGACGTAGAACATCTGGAGAGTGTTGGTCCGTCGACTTTATCTGAATATTTGTTTTTAAGATTCCCTTTAGAACTCGAGACTTCCCTAAACGTAGAGCGAGTGAATATTGGAATCAAGACTTCAACGCTGATCAGTAGCGCGTAGAAATGATGTACTGATATTTCAGAGCGAGTGGAGTGGATTGTTCTCTAATGAAACTCCCTATATAAAGAATGATCGTGTGTGTTCTCGTTGTTGAAACCGAATTGCGGAATCGGAGTGTCCTTATTGCTTTGGCGCGCATTCCGGTATCCGGTTAGTTTTATTTGGAGACCAAGATCATTCAATCACTCACGCTAGCTGAGTATGAATGTCATAACTTAGCCTCAATCGACCTGACTTACCTTCTCATAGAAACATGAAGTGTAAGAGTAGCTCATTAGGGACCACATGCCTTCAGCGGTATGGATTATCGAAATTGGAATCTATATTCGAAAAAAACATCTTCGAGATATTTCTTGACGGATTACTGATAAATTAAATATCCTATAATTTATGGTACGCTTCTACAAAATGGTACTTAACAAAAAAGCCTCAGTAAGGTCCTGGGTAGTTGTCTCGGGTTGCGGCTGATCATCCCTCCTTTGCAACTCACGAAGTGCTCCCATCCATACTACCACGCGCCTCAACAAGCTTCTGCTTTCCCATGGCGGAGGTATCTTCCCAACAAAGGGAGTGGACGAAAGGTCAATATCCGGGTTGGTGAACCACTGGCAGTTTACCTATGGGAGTTGGCTAAAAATCCTGATTCCAAACCAAACAAGAGGAGGTGTACCAACCAAACTCATGCATAACTTCTTGATTGTGGCAGTGGTCACCAGCTCAATTGAGTGCCGAGATGTACTGGACACCTCGGACGTTTGATTCCGTCCCAAGGCCGTATGATCCGATGAACTCGACCAAAATAGTTCCAAATGGAATGCGGTTTTCACACACCACTTTGCTGTCTCACGGACCCAGCTTTGGATAGCCAAAGGCTCCTCTTGTGAATTTTCCAAGAAAATTCATCTGCTTCGACCTGGGCAACTTAGCAGTATCGCGCCCTCGATAAAATCAAGGACCTGTTTTCTTTTTCACAGACGTTATTGTATCGTGATCTGTTCGGCACACAATCTGGCCTCAGACGTGTGTGAAAATATAAAATAAACACTCAGGGTGCATCGGGTAATTAAAAGTTCAAACAGATCGCCATCTAATTAGAATCAATCGATGTCGGGCCAGAAGACGGTAGTATAGCAAGAGACATAACATGTAGAAAAACCTAAACCAACCAGAAAAATGTATTATCTCAGTTCATAAAAAAATACAGTGACATTTATCACAAAAACAGTCGAACATGCAAATTGAAAATAAATAAGTTCCATAGAAAAAGATGAGGAAAAAAAAGAGGAGATTTTGGTCTCACGTGGGCAAAAGCACATGCCTAGCCTTATCACCGAATTGGAAGGAGGGGAGGGAAAAGAACCAATAGTCCCGGTCAATGGAACCGACAAAATTACACAGAAGTATCACAAGAGCAGGATGTTGAATTTGTTGTGGGTATCAATGTAGGGTAGTTCTTTTTTGAGAGATTAAAATTAGGATGACCGCCGAGGGACATACCGAAAATTTGTTCTACGTGAGAATCGAGTCCTCTTGTCCCAATGCACTCGGATTTGTAGGGCTATATTGCACGGATCGCTGAGGATGCATAAAAAATAAAGGCATAATATCCACAAGTAATTTGAAAATAGCCATTATTCGAGATAGCAAAACTATGAATAAAATAAGACAGATTATCATGGAAAACAGGAACAAGTTGAACATCAGTCGTCGTTGTCTGCTATAGCGAAGATTGAATTTTCGACGCCAATATTCTTCTTTAAGACGTTGCAGAACTGCTTCATCTACATGATCAGTCAATAGCGGAGCTTCTACGTCATATTCTTTGGCGGGAAAACAGCGACTGTTTGCCATGGTTAGGGTCAAAAAAGGAAATCACCAGACAAGAAGCTGCAATAGAAGATAAAAAAAGGTTATGAACCAATCAATTGTGAAACGATTTTTTATCGCAGTCCGACCAAAATCAAGGTCTCACATGTACTTCCTTTAAGTTTATGTCCGTGCTATGAACTCTGGGTGATAGGTGTTAATTAAATGAGATGCTTCTTGGTACGACAAAGAATAAAATCGAAATCATATTAAACGGATCTTTATAGTGAGTTGCAGCCCCAAAAACTTGGCGTTATCCCTGCCGGATAAACATGCCACACATATCAGTTGGTAACCCCTTGGTGGGGTTACTCGCAAAGTTACAGTGGTGATTATTTCTGAATAAAATAGTGTTGGACTGTTCTTCATCCTTTCTTTTAAGTCCTACTCCAACTCTTGATGTTTGGAATAGTTTTTCCTGTATTCGTGTGGTCACCAAGTTCCGATTGTCTTCAATCGGATTAAGATTCAATGAAAAGGCGAACATGAGAGGAAGAGCGATTATTTCTGTGTTGTTCACACTCCTGCTCGATCGGTGAGTGGTGGTCTGACGCTGTCATCCTAAATGACCCGTCTCCTTACGCGGAGCATCTGAAGATAGATAATTGTCCAGCATAGTAAATGCACGTCTACCATCCATCAAAATCCTACCTCCAAAAAAGACGGATGAAATCGCCAGGATCTTAAATAACTTGTTAGGTTGCACCATTATCCGTGGATGTTCGATGTGATCGAAAGGCACGAATTCACTAGCCATGGTGTTTCACGGTAAACCTGACCCCATCAGACCAGATCATTCACGGCAACATTGTGTATCAGCGACAAACACTACCCAAAGCGGTTTCAGTTCTTTGCGCGTGCCTTTGGAAAACAGAGCTCGAATTTAAATAAGGCTGATTCAAGTAGCGAGTGAGTTCCAACTAAGGCAGTTTGACTACATTTTCAGTAGCGTTAGCCATTACTTATCGCCGTTATCAGCATCAATCGATCCATTGCATCTGTGATCTTTTGTTATAGACCACTGGCGTACTCCTATTAGAGGCTGTTGTCCTCTTCAAAACAGTGAATCCAGTATCCCAAAATCTGTACATCCGTACATGACGGTTCTTACTGAGTCACAAGATAGATTTTGATGCGTGATCAGACTCAACGTAGATGGTCTAACAGGACCTGTAATTTTTCACTGAGCCACGCCAACGGTAGCTTACTTCTATGTGGTCGATTTGGGTTAGAGTACCAGTTGAACTGGAGCGCCACGTTGTCGTCCGTCGATAGCTGTATCGGAAGTTGGTGCTAGATAGGAACAGATGATGATCCGTGCAGAACTGAAGAAGTCAACCACCGTTATCTGTTCTTTGGCAGGGTGAAGCACAACTTCTGCCTAGACAGGCTTCTGATGCTCTGTCTTCCAAATTGCGCGTGAAAGTCACCTGCAAGTACAACTATGTCGGAGCTTCAACTCAGCCGCATGACATTGATGAGTTCATCGTAGAAAGCGTCCTTTTGGGTATCAGAACTGCAACTGGTTGGTGCGTCCAACGTGCCCGCCGATTGTCTTAGTGCAGCCTTCGATTTCACGTAGCTACAGTAACTCTTTCGTTCCTGGCGCTCTCTCTTGCCGATTTCAACCTCGATGGTCATTTTTGCCTGTTTTACTAGCTTGTTTGCATAGTTTCGCGCCTTCTTATATGGAAGCTATCGATCATGCCCTCCTGTGAAAACGAATGTCTTCCACCTACGAGTCCTTTTCTCTACGGCGCGTTTAATGGCCGGCTTCCAAGACTGTGGCTTATATGTATCGCCCCAAGACTACAAGGGGGCATGCCTCTCCGTCAGCTCTAATAGCTGGTCGCGGATAAGCCCCCACCGTTGACCAAGTGACTAATCTGTTCCCTGCGGGAACTATGCTCTAACTTGCGCATCTCGCCTCACGTCCTTCACATTCATTCGCCCAAAATTGCGGCATCACCTGCGGGGTGGCTTTTTCTTTATAACGCATGTTTCTACCAACAGTACATTGTGATTGCTTTTACCGAGAGAAACCTCTTGTCTAAGGTCGCCGATCCCACTCTCCTGCCGCGTGAGGACCAGATCTAAGATAAACGGTCTCTGTCCTAGTCGGATACGCATTGGTGCTCTCACGTGCTAGTAGAGCGATGTCGCGTGGAAGCAGTTTATGAATTCATATGCTGCTTGACACTCCCTCGTCCGCACGCTGCCATTCTATTCCGGGGAGATTGAAATCCCTCACTATAATCGGTCAGTGATTTACCCTACCGAGTATGGGAATGAGGTCTATCAGTGGTCGACTACTATCTAATTCAGAATTTGGTGATCGGTAAACAGCTAACATGCAGAACTGTCGAACTCGGTTTCTTACGATGCATTCAGTTGGTGTACAGATTGTGAGCTCAGGTATTTCCCACTGGATATACAGCCAACGAACGAGCAATAAAACCCCACCACCCCGTCCACCTTCCATATCAATTCTGTAGTGGGTGAAGTTGTAAGGGGCTTGTTGTTCCATGGATATGGTTTTTGATAACCCTGTTTCAGTAGGGATCACAACATCGCAATCCTGGCTCCTCACCGCTAGCTCGCCCCACTTGTTTCCAACGCTGCACAGCTTTAGGCTGTGGCTGAAAAACGAGTGCTCGCGTGTATCTTTCGAATTGTCAGTACCCTCGAGCCCAACACCCGAGGGCCAACTACGGTTTTCGAGGTAGTGCTCTGTTTTATGTCCTGCATGGTGCAGGTACCCTTCCTGTCGAGGGACGTTACCCTGGCAGGGTTTGACACTATTTCGGTAACCGTATTATTGACTACCGAGCCGCTCTGATCTCCAGTTTCCGTTGCAACTGAACATTGATCGTGCATCCCCTTGTCCGTGCTGTTTCCCTGGACATCCATCTCGGCCTTTATAGATTCTGGGGTTTGAGTAGACCTTGAGGTTGCGATCGGTGCCAGCGTCTGGTTTACGTTTCCAGTTGAAGGAACCAATAGCGTTTATAATTCTGCTTCGGTTTCGCCTTATGAACTACATGCGTCTGGTTTTCTGCACTGGTTCTAAGGCTGAGCGGTCGAAACACAGTCTTTAATGCCTTTATTGGCACAACCCGAAGTGAAGTTTGGCTCCTACTGAGCTTAACACTGATGGGCTGTGCCCTCTGAAAAGTCGGTTTTGCCCCAGCCTTTGGATATGTGTGGGATACGCGGGACCCCATCATGGTTTCCTGATTTATTACAGGTTTCGGTCATGCTGGTAGCAATAGTTTCGACCTCATGAGAGTCGAGGAAACCAAAGCGCCGTAGATAAGCGTAGATAAGTATACATATGAAGCAGAGCCACTGCAATTCGTCGTTACCCACGTAAGTTTCTTATGCGCTACAATCTATGGGGGCACATCCCACGTCGTACCAATATCCGCAGTAGTCACAGCGGAATACAGAGTACAGCTCGAGACAGGTCTCTGGCACTTTAGCAGCCTGTTTATCCATTGCAAAATTTAAAGTGCGTATTTCCTTACCCTATGTAATTGTAGTACGTATTAAACCAGTGATTAAAAAAATACCGCCCGAAGACTTAACGAATATCTTTGCTAAGCGGATTTGCAGATATTTGCGCGATTGAGAGCTGTTTCAATGGTTTCAACTCTCAGTACTTCGTTATTTCGAGACTTGATATTTAATGCGGTACTTAAAGCACAGTCTAGGAAGCAAGTGAATTAGGTTTATAAATCTATCAGTCGATGGACGGCTTGAAACCTTCGAAGACAGCCTAAAGAAGCACCAAATTTATTACGAATGCCACAGAATTGCTATTTTTACTACAAATCTTTAGTCTAATTGGTTTTATGATAGTTGATGTTTGCATCCAATATAAATCGCATGGGGGGGAGCTAAAGACCAGGACAGCAGAAGCAGATGTCATTACTGTCACTAAGACTTGGCCCAAGAGTGAAGATGTGGTCCTGGGTCTGCAGGAGTATACCGAATATAGACAGGAGAGTCGACGGGAGGCAAGGGGGCGGGGTCCTTTTAGCTGTGCGGACTACCTGTCACCAATGGGAGTGGCCACTGCAGTTGGCTACTCCCAATATTCAGGTTACTGCTTGCCACTTAAGGGTTGGATCGGAACTTTAGGCATTGTCTGCGTTTATAGGGCACCAAGCTCAACGGTGACAGAGGATAATGAACTGATGCGTACCCTACAAGAGGTGCTTCGAGGGGCACATGGATTTCTCATCGTGGGGGATCTAAATCTTCTTGAAGTAGCTTGGGAAGAAGAACGAGCTCCTAGAGGAACTATTCGGTCTTGCATTCAAGCTCTGAGGCTCACCGAATAGTTCCCTCCTTCAGGCCCAGGAAACTCAAACAACGGCCACCATGGTGGAAACCATGTTTAGACAGGGCTCTGGCCACACAGAGTCGAAAGTGGGCGCTTTACAAACGGCTTAGTTCGTATCAGGCATGGTGTAGCTACAAAGCAGCAAGAAACCATGAGTAGACTATGCAGCAAAGGGCCAGGTACGACCATGAGCATGGGATTGCAATAAAAGCAAAACTGAACCGAAAGAGGTCCTATGCTTACGTCCAATCTCAATAGGCGTCAAGAGAGGGGATTGGAACGTTAGAAAGCACTGATGGACGTCTTGCCCGAAGTGTGGAAGACAAAGCAAACATCCTGCTGGCTTTCCTCAGGGAAGCCAGCAAGAGCACTCGAGCGCGAATGCCTCGCACCGGTCGAACCCACTTCAGATTCTTGTTCTTAAGGTACTACCGGTGCGAGGCATTCGCGCTCGAGTGCTCTTGCTGGCT